AATTGACCTTCATTGATATTGTGTCGATGTGCTTCTCTTTACTCAAACAAACGAACAAGCAAATTAGGATTGTTCCTCCTCCCCTCAGGACGGTGCCACTGACTAAAGTGTCTTTAGGCCATTCTCAAAGGTGGGACATTTCTCGTTCTAATGCACAGTAGAATTGTAAATGGGCTGATCCAACAATGTCATGCTCATAACTGTGCCTGTACTACAACAGGGAACTGCTGCTTTTTCTTTCCTAATCCTTACTATCGTCATTTTCCTCTACTTCTTTTGTATGTTTGTCACACTCTTGTGACCCGCTATTTCCAGGGGGCCTTGATAGTCGAAGCAGACTTTGTGCTGTTGAAGCTAGAGAGGTGAGCAGAGTAAGTCTGATTCCCTGTAAGGACTTCTCTGTTGACATCCACCCCTTGGCACTCATATATGGCCTTATGCAGTTGCGAGCGCCGTAAAACCTCTACTAAAACAAACAAGGACTGTTCCTACTTTTTAAATAAATAATCCTTCCAAGTTTCTGTTTCGGACTCTTGTCATGTCATCTTAATGATGTTGCAAATTAGGACTGCTTTTGTTGCTTGTTGGTTTTTTGTTTTTTTGTTTTGGGTTTTTTTTCCTTTTCTTTTTCTTCCAAGATTTTATTATTATGCAAATTAGGAATATTTCTGTTAATTTTTTTTTCTTGTGTCTTTTTTTTCCACATCCCCTGGTAGCTGTTTAAACTGTTGTATTATACTGTACATAGCAAAACTGAACCACAGTGGAATCTGAACCATAGTGGAATCTGAACCATAGTGGAATCTGCCTAAATTAAAATCTGCGGGGCCGTTGGATTTTCTTCAGTTCAGCTGAGTTTTCATGTCAGTTTAGATAGGTTTCTTAGTATACAGAGTTATAGAGACGAAAACATTGGAGATTTTATTTTCTTACGATTTACTGCTGTTTTCGGATTAACCCGTGTTTGATTTAATCAGATTCTACTGTAGTGTATGCCAGTATAAAACAGTATTATTACCTCTATCTGTATGTCCTGTGTGGTTTTTGGTGGGTGCTCCCTTAGCTCAGTTGGCATCATGCTTGATTACAGAGAGGATGGCCCTAGGTTCGAATCCCAGACTGGGTGTTTTTGACCTCGGGTCGTGTTGTGGAGTAATATCTGAGGCATCGTGGTGAAATCAGGCGCTGGTCAAAATAATGTAATCCGAGAAAAATGGCATTTTTCTACCATTTAGGAAATTTTTTTAGAATTTCTATTTTTTGGCTCAACACCTTGTATGTCTATTCAAAAACTCTTTTATATATATATGTGGATTTTATGGAAACACGTTTAAAACCACAAAATGTAAATTTGCAGTTTCCAAGGACTCCTAAGCTATGGAAGTAACCCAAATTTAGCGTCCAGTTTCTCGCTAATTGGACCTCTGAAACCAGGCGACCCCACCTGCTTCAATCACAAATATCTCGACTTCTACTTCTATTCAAGATAAATGGATATTTTTTTCATCGAAAACAAGGCAGATGTACTACCCTTAAGATGATACCAATGAATGACTCCTTGTGGCCAAAAATTTACGAGCGCTGATTCCTCTACGTTGTGACTCATATTAAGGCTCTCAACCTGTTTGGCTCAGTCCTTTGGAGATAAACGTTAAATTTGGAGGTCCATGAGCCACTTAAATAATGTTGTACTAAAAGTAAAAACGTTGATAGGGGCTTTTAACTCATCATACCCATACACTTGGTTTTAGTTTTAGAACTTCTTATTACCAGTCTACACCAACCGCGGCAGTGCTACTCACTGAAGTGTCTTTAGACCATTCCTTAAGGGGGGATATTAACATGTTCTTATGCACAGTAGAATTGTAAATGAGCTGATTTATCAATGTCATGCTCATACTGTGCCGGAACAAGATAGGGGGGAACTGCTGCTTTTTCTTTCCTTTTTATCCTTACTATCGTCATTTTCCTCTACTTCTTTTGTATGTTTGTCTCTGTCTTGTGAACTGCTATTTCCAGGGTGCCGTGATTCCCCGCTTGGACTTCTCTGTTGACATCCTCCCCTTGGCGCTCATATTACCCTATGCAGTTGCAAGCGCCCTAAAACCTTACTAAGACAGACAATTAATATATGTATTACCACTAGTCACACTTCTGTCTGGCACCACTGGTAGATCCTACTTATTTACTTATATTTTACTTTCCCTCTGTTGTTTCTGTCTGTCTGTCTGTCTTACTTTTTCCTATCTCTAAAGGACCATTATTATTTTGATGTGCTTCTGTTTACTGAAACAAACATAATATCTGCCAAGTGTTAGTGGTTGGCAGGTGCTCTGGTGTGGTTTGCTCCTTCTTTCCTATAAAACATATTTAACTTCCTTATCTCTTCTCCTTTTTGTGTATGTTACTCTCTTGTGATACATCTCATTCTTTGCACTTATATGACCTAATTAAATTGTGTTGTAAGTGCCGTAAAACTCTTACTAAAACTAAAACATCTGCCTGGTTCTTCTGGGCATATTTTCCGGATGTTTTGTTCATTTTCCGGATGTTTTGTTCAGATATAGGCCTACTGTGTGGCATGCACATCTGGGCTGTTGCACATCAAAGACCTTATGAGTTTGATAATTCCTGCGTGGAGGAAGTTGGTTCAGCGAGAATCGCTGTCTGTTTGCGAGGATTTCATATTTTACTCTCTCTACTAAGTAGGTTTATGACGGGTAGGGTGGAAACAGTCCGCCTCATTATTGTGAATGATAATTAATGTTCATTGTGTGGGTGAGGCATGAAGGGTTTTGTCAGTCATTTTGTCTATGGGGTTGTATCACGTCTATAAAATTACAAGTTCACAAATAAAGCTTTTTTTAAAAAAAAATTAATAAATAAACGTAGGTGTTTTGACACCCCCTCGACTTAATTTGTGCGCTTTTTACAGGGTGAAAACAGTCCACCTCATCATCGTGAAAGATAATTTAACTTTTGCTTGGATGGGGCTTGGAGTGTTTTGTCTGCCTGTTGTCTATAGGGCCGTATCACGTCGAAAATTATAGTTTTACAATTTAAACTTTTTTTATTTTTCCAAAAATAAATGAAAGTGTTTTTACATCCCCCTCGACACAAAAAGTAAGCTTATAATAGAGTGGAAACAGCCAACTCATTAAAAGTAATTTGTGTGGATGGGGCATGGAGCATGGTGTGAGGCATCGTGGTGGAATCAGGCTCTCGTCAATTTTTTGGCATGTAGTGTTATTGAAACTTATTGGTATCATCTTAAAGCTTGTTCACTTGTCTTTATTTGGATGAAAAAAATATCCAGTTATTTTGAATACAAGTTGAGATATTTACGAAAGAAGGAGATGGGGGTCACCTGTTTTCAGAGGTAAAATTAGTGGGAAAATGGCCGCTAAAGGATAGTTATTTCCTTAGCTTAAGAGTCCGTGGTAACTGAAAATTTACATTTTCTGCGTCTTTAATCAACATTTTTCAGAAAAATCCACACAGAAATGAGTTCTTTAATGGTCATGAAAGGTGTTGAGTCAAAAAACAAAAATTTGATAAAAATTCACAAACCTGTGGAAAAATGCAAGTTTCTTCATTTTGATTATTTTGACGAGAGCCTGATTCCACCACGCTGCCTCACAATTATTATTTTTGTCAGCCAGTTGTTCAATTGTCTATGGGGGTGTAGAACATCTATAATTTAATTACAGGTTATACAAATTAAGCTACTTTTTTATATTTTCTTTGACCTGTAAGTAGTAGGTGACCTTGCACCCCCATCGACTCAAAAAGTAAGCTTATATGATAAGTGATATATAGTGGAATAAATAAATGGAAGTGTTTTCACACTCCCATTGACACAAAAGTTACGCTTATAATAAGTTGATACAGTGGAATAAAAGTGTATATATATATATATATATAAAAAACATGATGTGATGCTTTGATATTGTGTATATTTTGGTTTATTAAACAATACTATTCCAATATTCTACTAATGTGTGTGTTCAGTGCACTGCTGAATGTTCTTATCTTGTTGTAAAAATATGTATAGTTTTTGTTGTTGCTGTTGTTGTCATGGTGAGTCTGAAAGAAGAGAGCGGTTGGAGGTTGCTAGTTGGTCGCTTTTAAGCACAAGGGGGCCTTCCCAAAAAATGCTGTTTTGAGAAAATGAAAGGTAAAGTTTTTGCCCCTTGTTCAGTTTCTTTAAAAAACAAGGAGAGTTTTATTTATAACTAAGCAAAACACACCAATGAAACCAAACCTTCCCTATACAGTATATAGGTAGGGCAATGCCCACTTTTTGTGTAGGTCTGGAAACCCCCGAAATCTGGGTTAGTCCGCTTGTCCTTAAAAGTGACCAGTTAATTTTTAGTTGCTGTTGTTGCTCTTGTTTTCATTTTTGTTTTTTGTCATGGTGATGCCAGAGGGAAAGTGGGTGGTTTGCGGCGGTACAGAGTGGTTTGCTCCTGATCCTACTTCTTTCCTGTCAAACTCAAACATCTATCACCAAGTATCTCTATTTTTTTACTGCTGGGATGTTTTATCACAATCACGCTCATCCCGGAGTGGGTGGTTGGCGGGTGCTCTGATGTGGTTTGCTCCTTCTTTCCTATCAAACATCAATCGCCCTTATCTCCCCTCCTTCTTTTTTGTGTTTGTTACTCTAATATAACACCTGGCTGTAATCTTTGCACTTCTATGACCTTATTGTGTTGCTAGTGCCGTAAAACTTACTAAAACTATAACTCATCTCGGATTGCTGCTGACGAGTAGGGTCCAAGCAGCCAGCCTTCTAAGTGATTCTAATTGTGTTAATGAGGAAGTAATCCTTTTACAACCACTCTGTTTAATTCTGTACTCGTTTTTAATATTCATTATTTTTGCTTCATATTTCTCACTTACTTTACACTTAGGTCTACATGTATTTTTATAATGCATATTTATTATTTAAATCAAGTAACCAATCAAAACGGGTTAATGTTCTGAGCGCATCTAAATTTAGTCAAAGAAAACGAAAAACAAAATAATATTAGATGTTGCAATATTTTATTGGAAAAAAAAACGAGCCTGGAACAAGTGTTGTCATATAAAATAAACTTGGAGCACGATTGCTATTGCTATATCAAATAAACAAATTATTGTTATAATAAACAAGCTTGGTTCATATTGCAAGATTAAATAAACTTGGAGCATTATTGCTAAATAGAATAAACGAACTTGGATTCTGCATACTGCAATATTAAATAAAAACATTAGAAACATGTATTGTATATATTATTAAATAGACATTGTCGATCGTAAAGCATCTATTGGTATATTCACAGACTCTTTTACGAATTGCTAGCAACTGGCTTTTTCAAAATGAACAATTTTAAAGAAAACAAAGAAACAAAAAAACACCACCAAAAAAAACGTCACTATATTGACGCTCAAAACGGACACCATAAAATTCCGCTCTCGACTCTCAGACAAATTTTTTGGTGAAATTTCTGACTTGCGTCTGGTTTGACTGGCACTGGCACATGCAACATTTTGTTTGTAGAGATAACTCTCTGAGATTACTGGAGTGTATCATGTGTGTGTGCATGCGTGTGTGTACGTGCCCACGTGTGCGTTGGTGGGTGCGTGTGGGCGTGTACGTGTGGGCGTGCGTGTGCGTGTATGGATTTACAGTAGTTCCTGCAAATTCCTGTTTGATCGAGGGGGTCAATAAATTCTTTATGTTATCTTATCCTACCTTATCCTAACTCATCGTAACTGATCTAATCTTTTTTTGTCTTATCTTTTTCCAAAAAATTATGACGTCAGTGCTGCCACGCCCTCAGACTGGCGATGACTCCTGCTTGACTCCTATACCGTTCGTCATTGCTGAGGCGGAGAGTGGTCAACGAGGGAAGTAATCTGCCGAAAGAAGATAGTCAACGTTTTTATGCCCATTTCGACATTATAGGCCTATTACATGTATTATTTGAGATCATTTAGGAGGTGGTCTGCTTCGACTTTTTCTGTCAGGATAGACCCGGGTTTTAAAAAGTGAAGTGGGCACAAGATCCTAACAGAGATATATGGAGATTTTCGACTCGAAAAGAAAACCAAAAACAGCCGTCTCTCGACCGGGGAATCGAATCGCTGTAACTCTTTTAATTTGGAAAAAAAAAGCTATCAATAAAGGGTACGTCTAACTGCTCCGCTAAATACTCCAGTAAGATGGACGTCTTTAGTTTTAGTTGGAGTTTTATGTCGCTCGCAACTACATAAGGGCATATGAGTGCCAAAAGATTAGAGGTCTGTTACAAGAGAGTAACAGACATAAAAAAGAAGGGGAGATAAGGACGATTATAGATGTTTGATATAGGAAAGATGAAGCAAACCACACCGGAGCACCCGCCAACCACCCACGTGGACGTCTTTATAGGTGTATAGAAAAAAAAGCGGAAGAGGGAGGGGGGGGGGTCATTTGTACATTGTACAGAGATTGCCTTAAATATGAGACCTAGTTTTAGTTTTAGTAAGGTTTTACCAAAGATTCTTTACTATACAAGATCTTTGGTTTAACGGCGCTCGCAATTGCATAAGCTCATATGAGAGCGCCAAGGGGTGGGTGTCTTCAGAGAAGTCTAAACGGGGAATCAGACTAAGTCTTACTCTGCTCACCTCTAGCCTCAACAGCACAAAGTCTGCTTTGACTATCGAGGCTCCCCGCAAATAGCAGTTCACAGGAGAGTGACAAACATACAAAAGAAGTAGAGGAAAAACGACGATAGTAAGGACGAGGAACGAAAAAGCAGCAGTTTCCCCTGTGTTGTTCCGGCACAGTTTGAGCATAACATTGGTACACCAGCCCATTTATAATTCTACTGTGTATAAGAACATGTTAATATTCCCCCTTCGGAAATTATCTTGAGTGACATCTTCAGCCAGTAGCATTTCCTGGGGGCGGGGGGTGTAGGAGTTTTACGGCACTTGCAACACAATAAGGTCATAAGTGCCGAAGATTACAGGTGTTGCAAGAGAGTAACAAACACAAAAAAGAAGGACAATAGATGAATGATAGGAAAGAAGGAGCAAACCACACCAGAGCACATGCCAACCACCCGCTGAACCACTGTAATCCATCATTTGAAAACAAAAACCATACAAAAAAAAGTAATAAGAAAGCCAGCAGTAAAAGGCAGGTACGCCTAACCGCTCCACTAAATACTCCAGTAAGATGGACGTCATTAACAGCGCCATTTTGGTATAGAAAAAAAAACCGCAGAAAAGAGGAAGGGGGGGGGGGGGGTTGATTTTTGCTTGGGATTGCCTTGTACAGATGACCGTTTGAGCAGGTTCTACTGCAAATAACATTCTGACTAGTTCTAGTTCTATGTAAGCTGTTATCTAGACTGGTCTCTTCACCTCTAACAATATGTGTCTATTTAATTTGTACAACTTCAACAGCCGAAGAAAGAACAATCAAACAAACAAAAAAACCGAACAAAAACCCAATAAAACAAGGAAAAAAACATCTTTGTAAGAAAACTACCGATTTGCCGAAACGATCCTATTTATTCTAAACCGAAAATAATTTGAGCGTTATGCTGTTCTAACTCTTCGCTAGTAACGCTCAAGTAACGCAAACAACCAGGTCACCCCTGTTTCTCTGCATGCACTTGTACAGCTCCATCATACGTCGAGAGTAGGACTCGAACGGGTACACTCTGGTGAAAAGAGTGAAATGGTATAGGTGTAACGCCCCTATCACAGTACAACACTATTAGGTTATTTAAGAGGCGGGACATCCAAGTTTAACGTCCATCTCCGAAAGGACCGCGCCAAATGGAAAATTCGGGTAACGTGCCAAGGACGCAACGTAGGACTGAGCTGAGGCTCGAACCCTCGAACCCACAAATCTCACGATTACAGGTCCGGTAGCCTAACCTCTATATGCCACTGACGCCACTGGGTACACTCTTCAATACAGGGTAACATATAATAAATATAATTTGTGTTTAGGAACAGTGCCATTGCAAAAAAGCACTATATAATACTCCGGAAGACCTCATTCACTCCATGAGTTTATGATACAAATTGTTGTGAGAGCTATTCATTAATCCATTTCCTCGCAATGCATCGTATACCTCGATAATATACGAGGGCCTACGGTGGAAAGCGAGCATAGACACAAATTGAAAATTGTGAAGGTGCCCATTTTAAAAGCTTATAATTTCATTATTATTTGTTTGGCAGGCGGTTTATTGTTATGTCTGTTGGATGGAAAATCTGACAAGAATAATCAACCAACAGTAGAACAGAAATACAGTTATGAGTCAACAAGCGATCAAAGTTGATACCCTCAAGATTTTCAATTTGTGACTAAGCCTGTTTTCCCCGTGGACTTAAAATAAAATTATAAATATGTCACTCAAGATTTCTCACCGCTTATGATCCAAATTTTGGCTTTGACTCTAATTTAAGATCCCGCATTTCATATTTATAATTATTAAAATTTAACTAAAACCCCGCATTTCATAACATCATAATTGTTAAAATCTACGGAGTAAAAATCCGGGTGCATACAGATGATCCACCAAGCTGTGAAAATGTTCTTTCATTGCTCTGCCTGTTGCGTCACACATCAACCATTCTCGAGAACGTGATCACGCCTCCGGAGTGAATCTCTATGAGTGGGCTCAGTCTCAACTCTGATCTAAACTTTAAAGACACCGACACACACACACACACACACACACACACACACACACACACACAAACACACACTCACACACACACACATACACACACACACACACACACAGACATGCACAAACACATACACACACACGCATACAAATGATGATTAAAAAGCCGGAAATGACGTCACTATTAGAAATGCAAGGGCGTGGGTTCATTTGTCTCACCTGGACATTTCAAAGTTGCTCCATTCCTTCTTGCATGGGTTGTCTTTTCGACCCATATTAGGCTCATGTCGTTCTATAAACAGCAAACTGGGACCTAGCGATGGGCGGTCCTTGGTCAAAGGTGTCTGGGAGAGGAGGGGAGGGGAGGGAGAGGTGATGGGGAAAGGGGAGGGGAATGGGTGGGGGTTAAATCTTGCGGTTAGTTTTAAGGTTAGAGTTACTGTTAAAACAAACCTTATATTATGTGTATTTAGGGTTTGGCTGGAGTTTAAGATACCTGTGATGAATGTAGGGTTAGAGTCTAACTCTATCTAATGTGAATATTTAGGGATGGGGTTTGAGTTTAAACATACTTGTGGAAAATGTTAGGGTTGGTGTTAGTGTTAGGGATAGGGTTAGGGTTGGGGGTTATGGGTATTGTTAGGAGATAAGAGTTGGGCTTAGGGTAGGGTTAGGGTCATGGTTAGGTTAACAGGTAATATTAGGGTTAGAGTTAAGATGAATTTAAAGTTAGGGTTAGGGATAAGTCTAGGGTTTGGGTTTAAACTTACCTGTTGTGAGTGTTTATATTTGCCAGCAGTGTCAGGATCTCCATCTCTTGCCTTGTGTCTCGTGAATGACATCGTCATCACACAAAATGCTGTGCACACAAATTACAACGTTTCGACTTCATCCAACTTGATCAAACTGTAAGTAGTGTCAGCAGCCTCGTAAGCTGACGGTGTAGAAATAGCAAGCATGTGGGAAATGAGACTTTAAAAACTCTATTAATATTTTTTGTTGTTATTTTATTTTTTAAAATTATATATTTGTTTAATTTTTACGTATGTATTTGTTTATT